ACCAACAGCTATGATGTCTTTTAGAACGGCGTTTATGAAATTATATTTATTTTTCCTCGCACATTCAGTAAAAGAGAAAGAGAGAGAGAGAGAAGGAGAGAGAAAAAGAGAGATGAAGAGAGGGCAATTCTTGATAGTAAATTCATGTATAATCACTTAAAGACCTAGATGGTAAGAGTGATAAGAACAGACGCATATCGAACCGCCATCGGTTTACTTCATCACAATGGAACAAGAAAAAAGAATACAAGCACCTGACTCTTTAGTCCTTTATTAGTTCCATCTACTCTTCACATCATCATCCTCGTCGTTTACTTGTAATTTAAGCGCAATTTACGCGAGAATATCTCATAAGCCTCGCCGGCACGAATATTTATCCGGAAATTTGCGGGAAATTTCAATGAAAATGCTCTTTTCCGAAATCAGAAAATAATCCATAATGATAGAAAAAACAAATAGAGACTCGATAAAGAAACAAATCATTTGTAAAAAATTTTTAAAACAATATTTCTGCCAATTAGTACATGTAGTAGAAAATACACTTACAAATAAATTTTTTCAAATGTTACATTCTTATTGCTAAATTATGAGCATATATAGCTCCGAATAACCAGTGAAACATCTTTGATCAATGAAACATTTATAATTAAGTTTTCGCTTCTTATTATCACTGAAATTATATTTCATCAAAACAGATGTTTTTATCGAAAAGACGTACTTCTTCATACATATAATTGAAATTTTAAATATAATAAACAATAGAAAAGAAAAGAAATGAAAAAAATGAGTTAAAAATCATTGTAGCTGTATACAATCATAAGCTATTTGCTATTGAATTGTGAAAGATTAAACGCTCATATACTAATGATATAACCTGTTGTAGGGGTTCACATTGAAGAGGAGATTGAATGTTACTCTCATTAAACATACGATCATCATTAACGTGAATTTAATTACCGACCGTAATTATTTCTGTGGTTCTATTCCCGATGAAACGATCGAACATCCTATATTGCAGCAACTACGTGTAACTAAATGATACATCCGATAATTAGATTATAATTGGAAGGTTTGCAAGTATAATATCAACGTAATTAAAGCTTTTCCATATAAGTATTATTTTCATTCAAGGTTTTATTGAATAATATTTATATTAAAAATGGATTATTAATTTGAATCGAGTGGATTTTTCTTAAGCAACACATTTTATCAATTTATTGCCTTTTTTAGCCTTTTTTGCCAAATATGTGTAGTGCAATTATATAATTTTTTTAAAATAATTTTTTCAGAAATGACTTTTAGGTAATTGCGCGAATATTTCTATATATAATTATTTTCACAGATAATCTCTTTAATGTGCATGCGCATAGCACGTGAATTACTTTGAAATGGTGTAACACCTTGCATAATTACGACAGAAACAATGTCCGCATTGTTGTAAATGTGCACATTCTGCGTATGGCACGTGGAGAGATATGTAAATTTTACGCTGCATGCTATGCTTCGCCATCTTCTGTGATAATACGATTACTCGTAGAATCATGAACCATGTTAAGAGCTTGCTTACTTTGTAATTATTCATCTAAAACTGTAAATCTTTATTACTCTTATATATATATATATTTTTTCTGTATATTTACGACAATATGCAAATTGACATATATATATACATTACAAAAAAATATAATATTTCTCATTTCTCTCAAAAGTTATAAAAAAAGATTAAATCATATTTTATTGTTCAAAAATTAATATATTTTATACTTTATAGCATACTAATTTTTAAAAAATAAAAAATTATCATACATATACACAATTATTTTATCATACTTTTTATATCATATTTGCGTTACAAAATTGTTACAATGTATAATAATTTTCGGTAATCTTATAAATTATGTCGCAGTAAGCACATTGTCGATTTATTCCTTTCGACCTTTATTCCTTTCGATCTTGTTCTCTTTGTATGAAATTCAAAACATGTTTCAATTTTTTTCCAAAATTGCTATGCAACGATAATAATAGATAATTTCAATGTCTCTAGAAATTTGTAAATTTAAAATTGCATAACATCGATATACAGATCACTGATAAAGTAACTTTACCACAATGAAATGAGAAAGAAAGATCCGAAATACGCTATGTAATATTGCTATCAAGATTTCTGAAATGTGTGTATTATTTCGTAGTTATAGACTCGAAAATAGCCCGTTTAAGTACAAGATTTAAAACAAAATTTTTAATAAAATACATTTTTAAAAAAACCATGCATTATGACATTGAATTTTTTATATTAAAGGATATCTTTTGGGAAGGATATTTTATCGAAGCTTTTTGATATTTGGAAGAAATTTTTATATCATGAAGAAAACACTATCTATCCTACTTCGTTATAACAGTACAACGATTATGTATAGTACAGCCAAAGTTTAACAAACTATAAACTCAGCAAGAATAGTTTCGACACACAGGCAAGATAGGTTAAAGAGAGCATCAGGATCTCCTACTCACTAAAGTTGGGACGATAAATTGAACCGGAATGCTAATACTTCGATCGAATAATTTATTTCACACTTTGTTTTTCCTCCAGTATGATATGCTAATAGCTCGGACGGCATTTCCGTTTGGATTCTTGTCTCCTTCATTCCCGTCTTTCCTCCAAAATCCTGTATATCTTGCGCTCTTCTCTACTTTAATTCATTCAACTTTTCTAGATGCAGAAAGCAAACATATTGTTAATGAATAAAAAATTCTTCTAGCTACTTTGAATATTACATGATTACTTATAATATTTTTTTATATTAAACAAAAACAATCTGCATATTTAATAATTTAAAATACATATGTGTAATGAATATGTCTAATATTACTTATATAATTTTTAAACGATCGAATATATACACAGAGAAAAATGTATACTGTATTCAAGTAAATATTATTTATTTTAAGTATATCATAAGTTTGTATATCCGCAAATATATCATAAATTTACCACAAGCATTAAATTAATTGAATATATTCTGAATTTTAATAAGTGCAGTATTTTAGTCAAGAATATTAAATTAAAAATTTGATTTGCTTACTACAAGAGTTGACGTTTGATTTTTCTTTGATACAACTTTACAATATTCTTGAAGAGAAAATAAATTTTTCTTTTGAGTACATGATAAAGAGATTTTCTAACACTTGTGATGAGTATATTTTAAGATTATTATCAAGAATATATTCTTTGTTGAAGAAAATTATTACTTAAAAAAAGAAAAATAAACTGAGTAATCGCTTTTCTTGGCAGTAGAATATTTTTCTCTCGTTCATGAAAACATCTCAATTACTGTATTCTTCTAATCGATTTTGCCGGATCGGTTTTGTTGAGAGAATCATATTATTACCCATCCGAATCATATTTATGTAGGTATTAACGTAATCCCGAAACTTGTGAGGAGAGCCAATATATAATGCCGTATAGAAGTTGATGCGAAAGAGAGCTAAATGAGAAGGAGAAGACAAGATAAAAGCGAAGGAAGGAAGTGGAAATGGACGGATCTAGCTAAACGAGCAGATTCGTAATCCCTTTACTGCCGCACGACGAGAGGCTTTGATGCTGACGAGCTTAACGCTTAGCGACTTTCGTAACCGTGTCAAGCCGGCCTAAAAGACGAGTCAAGCTTGAGACACGTCGGCAAAAGCCTTCTTCGCGTTAAGAGCCATTCGTCCGGATCTTTTTTGACATTATATCTGCCTTCGAGATTATAATTCTGAGTCTATGATATGTATGAAGTATTCATAGCGTCTGGCGAAAAAAATCACGCTTTTCTTCCGCTTTAATCTGGCTTCGTTATCATTTTCTTCCGCGTTAATCCGGCTTCGTTATCGTTTTCAATTGTAAGTGTTGCTTCTATTCTTCAATATTTCTTTAATTTTTCCTTCTCTACACAAGTGTTATTTTACCTTATTATAAATCAAAAAGTGAATCAATGATTAAAACGATACTTTTATCTCGCATTAGAGACGGCATTAATTAACGCAAAGTTTTTGAATAAATGTTATCACTTAATTGTACTTTTCTATTTGAATAATCTGAAAAATTTCGCGAAAGTTTTTAAGACTAGTGTCAGCGGGCTTTTAAGAAAATATCGATAATGTGCGGCCGTTACTTTTCCGAACGATTGCACCGGCGAATATCGAAGAACAGGTCGTTATAGATTTAGGACGTCGACAGTGACCGTAAAAGACGCATACTTAAAACTTATTTATGGAATGGACTTTGAACTTTAATAAGGTTATTTGCAAAGCCATAACGATATTAAACTTCCTAACATTTTTATGTTAGAAAGTAAAGATTTGAAAGTTTTATTTTCTCATTTCCTACGACGTTCAAACCTTAATATGAACAGAAAATAGTCCTGTTTAATCTTTCATTCAAATTTCGCTCGCGGTATAATCATTGTAATTAAACATAAGGATCAAAGTCTGAAAGTCGAGGGTAATCAAGCCAAAGTTCACGACTTTCTATTTTAAAATGTATTAGCCGAAAGAGTTATTAAGAAGATGAGTTCCACCGTCTTTTAGAAGGATATTTAATGAAGAATGAGACGTCGCTATCTCATTAAAAATAGATTTCTTCGTCTCATTCAACTTTGAGATATTCTAAAATAAAGCCTAAATCATCGTTATTATAACATAAATCAAAATTTAATATATTAAATGTTATTATGTCTGTTCTAAAGATGAAATAAGAAAACTTCTGCTCACGCAATGTAAATTTCAAATGGAATCTCGAAGATATCTAAAGAATGTCTCGAAATCTTGGAATATATTTTAGAAGCTTCTTTACTTTTATTGTAGACATTTGTATTGTCTGGGTATTCAGTACAAATAAAGAACGGGTAGCTGTTTATTCTCTCCTTTATCGTGTAGCAGGTTTATCGAGAAAAACTGTATCTAAATTTCAATCTAAATGAGGTGAACGTACTACGAACGACACGTCTTACATATTTCAGCTTGTCGCCCACGAGAGACGATTGTCAACTTCGGCCTCGCGAACAATGGCTGCAATGAGTTTAGGTTTCATCGTTATGGTCACACCGTGGACAATTCAGGAAGTCGTTGTAGCCTGCACCGGAAGCAAGCCACCGCCGTTTCTTGACTTCTTGGCCACGTGGCTAGCTCTCTCTAACAGCTTTTGGAATCCTTTCCTCTACTGGCTGCTCAACAATCATTTCCGCCGAATTTCGCGGGAGTTTCTTTACACTAAGGTAAGCATAAACGCTTATACATACATACTTACATTTTAAATCAATTATTATTTATAGTAATACTATGACACATAATTTAATAATAAGTACATTTAGAAAAAAGCATACAAATCACAATAGAAAAATAAGTTAACATAATTGTCTTTGAAAGAGACAAAATTTGGAATTCAAGTAAATTTTAAAATTAAATTTCAAAATTTACTTTTTAATATATAGAAGATGAAGATAAGTTTTATATTTTTTATTCAATTTCAGAATAATCTAATTTATTTCTCCTTTTTTGTGCTTGTCCCAAAAAGCTAGTTTATCTGGTTTTTGTGAATTATATGGTAGACTATTATAGTAGCAAACACTATTTTACACGTGTGAACGTTCGTAAATCTCGTTAAAAGCGGACGCATGTTTTCAAACATTCATTAAAGGCCAGTCCGATGCACTTGGCAAATGAGAAACAATTTTTTTCTTCCTAATACTATCACACGTCCTGGTTCATAAATCACACCTTCCACTTAATAAAATAAATTAGGAATTACAATTCGAATTTTTTTACATAGTAAAATCTCTAGTTATCTTTCTCTTGTCAAAGAGATCAATAAAAAGATTAATAAAAATTCTATTCGTGAAAATAGAATTTCTTCTCTTATATTCTATATTTTATAATCCAAACAAATTTGATATATATTAATGTCGCAAACAGAACAATATATTCTACTGTGTACAAAAAACAGGAATTTATACGATTTAAGAATAGAATAGTTCGACAGGTTCGCAAGGCGAACGCGGTATTTCCTTTTGTTTACTATTTCCTTTTCCTCCATTCGTTTTATCTTTCCGTTACATCACGGTTGCGCGTCTTCTCACTTCTGATTTTATGCTCCACTCCCTTTATTCCGCAAAATCAATCCGCCTAGCGTTGCTATAGAATCAGTAAATTTCTCGAAGAGGATGGCGATTCTTGTCGCCGACGAACGAATGAAGACGAACGACTTAACATGATCCCTCTTGCTCCACCGGAAAACACGGTACCTGTCGCGGAAACAAGATTTATCCGGTGCAAAACGCGTTACGCAACGCATCCGACGGATCCGACATCGCGGTCGGCTTGTCCCTTCTTCTTCGCTGAATTCTCTTTTCGGATTCAGCAGGAATGAGGGAAAAAGACCGTACGTCGCGCAGCTCGGTCCGACCACATAGATCTTGGCGCTTCGACTTTACAGGCCATGAATTCCGAAAAGCTCGTCGGCATGTAGTAAATCTTTAATCGCAGCGTGAAGTGCATCGCGGCATCCTCTCTCCCATATTCGCCGGATGTGAAACTATATGCGAGCAAAGCGTATGGATACAGAGTTTTTAGTATTCCTTTACAACTGACTCGTGCCGCCATTCGATTGATAGCCGATAAACGAATCTGAGTTTGTACGAGATAAACTCTGCCACTTCTGATGTATCACGTGCAGTTTGCCTGCTGTTTTGATGAAAAATGGAAACCATTGGCGGATATTGAAATTGCACAATTGCGAGGTGGCAATTAAACTCGAATATATTTGAGTTTCAATTTGGAAACACTAATTAATTTTTCGTACGTTACATCTTTCTTCAAATTCAGCATTTTAGGCTTTGTCATAAATATATTTAAATTGTATGGCATTTAAAAAAAATACAAAAAATAATATTTTACGCTTCGAAATTTTTTAGTTAAAAGAAAAATCATTTAAATTCTCCGAAGAATCTATCACAATAAAAATGATATCAAAGAATGTATACTATAAGATGAATTAAAAATTCAAAGTCACACATATACTAAATTTTTTTGATAATAGGTAATAATATATTATATATGTATTAACATTTTTTAGTAAACCAATAGATCAACTAGCTTATGGAAATCACTTTGCATGAATACAAATACGCTCTTAATAGCGTAAGTATCCTGGGGAGATCATATGCCGGATATTGAGCTTCAATCTTGGTTTTTATTGGCTTAGATATTGCCCATGAAATTTATATAAGATGATTTCACATGTATACAGAATGTACTCTAAAACGAATCACAAATATCATGAAATTTTTTATACTTATTTTATTTTTTATACTTTTTATATTTGGAATAATGGAATATAATGCATCTTATTTGATAACTCAGTTGATAACGTACATAAATTCCTGTAAATAAATATGAATTAATCAACTAGCATAACCAATCACATATAATAAAGTATCCAAATATTTTCCAATAATTATTATAAATTTTATTGTTAATTGTAAAAACATTTTTGCTTATAGGAGAAATTTTGATATAAGCAAAATTTACAAAAAGATATTATATTTTGTAATAATTGAATAAAATATAATGGAGCAATTGTTTAAATTAAATAAAATATTTAATGTAATTTTAATAATATATTTTGCTGTTTGATATTAGTTAAATGATTGACATTTTATTTCTCAGTTGGCGGTATCATATACTCTTTACCTCATAACAACTGTCCAAATAGACAAATGTATATCTGACAAACTGTATTCCTTGAGGACCAACGTCGCATGCTATGTATTCTGTTTCGGAGCATCACATTGCGCACAAAGTTTATGAAAGCGTACCGATATACAATTAAAACTACTTTACATTTATATGATATACAAGAGTATGAATACATTGTGATAATGTATTCGATTACCAGGAAAGCCTCGAGATAATGTCATGTTTATTTATTACCCCATTCTCACGGGAAATAATCTTGACTTCATCGCACAGGTAATCAATAAAGCTTATAATCTGACCTTATTTGAATTGATTTATCGTTTGCAAGTTGACAGGTATTCTTCTACCATCGATGCAACGTTACTGTTATTGATATTTTGAAAAATTTTAATTTTCTTTTTAATATGCAGATTCTGTGCAGATCTAAGCCGTTAGGTACGAAGCAGCATTGCTGCGCGACCAGCACCGGTGGCTTAGATGTTTGCAGCATTGCCGGTGTCGACCTATCAGGTATGCTAAATGGATGTCATATCGCATTAAAAGCAAAGTCAATCGAGAACATTTCTCTACGTTAAATTTCGCATATATTGATATGCAGAACGGGCTCAAGAGAGACAGTATTTGAGCAGCAGAAATGTATATTGGAATTTAGAAATGCTTTTGCGCAATCAGAATTTTAAAATAAGTTTATGATTTATTCTTACACATATATATATAATTTTTTCTAACAAAAAAATAGAAATGTAATCTAAATTAAAAAATAATATAGCTCAACTGTGTGTATGAATTTGTGTCTATCTGTTATATTAATTATGACAAAATCAATCCGTTTGCCCTCACATTGATGATTTCACACCAGCAGCGACGGGATTAACGTAATCAGTATTTTGCACTAATTAAACCAAGGGAAATCAGCCTTTTGACAGCATCCATTATCAAAATTAACTACATTCTCGTGCTTTATGTGACATCCATAAATGGAAATTTAATACGATCGCTAGTAATAATCAATGTCATCACACACACGTAGATGCGAATTGTATCATAATTATGTTTAAAAGTGCACCTATCACATCAGGCCGCTACAATTGAATATGTTGCAACATTTTTCATATTTTGATATATACATACGAAATACATAAACTATCAATTTTTTTTTATCACTACAATTAATGTAGTAATGTTCCCGTATATTTTCTTATACACTCTCTCTCTCCTTCTCTTTGAATCGTTTAAAATTAAATAGATTGGCTAAAAGAAAGAAATGCCAGGAATCTTATAGACAAAGAATTATATTAAAAAATTTCAGAATAAAAATAAAAATAAGAAGTTTTAATAAATTTATTCAATTAAGTCTTTATCATGGTTGCTCGTTTCATAATTTTAAATATCGCGAGAGATATATCTTCAATTTTCAATTGAGAAAAAGAAAGAGAATGATATATAAAACGAATTGTTTTAAAATTCCTAAGAATTCGCGATATGTGTGTGGTTTCGCAAAAGATTTCTTTTAATTAGAGTATAAATATATATAAAGAAATAAATATTATGTATTCTTAATAAAATTTTGTCCCGAAATATTTTTGCGAAACCACACACATATCGCGAAAATATAACAAAACCACATTGGAAAATATATTGCGATATTTAATTATCGGGCTATACAAAATGGCAGCCAAATAGAAAAGCAAATTAATTCCTAGCTATATATATATATATATATATATATATATATATATATATATATTGTTCCAAATCTATTGTTCAGCGCAATGAATTTCATGTTGCGCGAAATTAATTAATGGTTATTAATGGATGTTATCGTTAATGATAATGTGAAAATTTTTTTTCATGTACTTTTTTTTCAGGTTTGGAGCGTTGCTCAATGGAACAATGCTCAATGGCGCGTTGTTCTTCATTATCATTAGCGAATACACCGCCACCACTCCCTTGGGAGACCGGACACATGGCACATGGCGACGCAGCATCCACGTGAGGTGCGCCTTACATAAATATATATGCCTTTGTTATATTATTCATGTTATTGGTTGTGCTGCCCATGTTATTCTATATTATATGAGATCTATCCCCATCGCATTACAATTTAATGATAGACTCTCTTTGATTAATTTTTCATGCAAATATGTGCGTATGCATTAATAATTCTTGAGCTGTAAGCGGTAACTTAAAAAAATTTTTTAAATTTTGCGAATAAAATTTGCAAAAATAAAAAAAATAAGCAATACATCTTTTTTAATTTTTTAGATTCTAATAAACTTTGTTAGAGAGTAACAATTACAAAAGTAACAATTACAAAATATTGTTTAATATTGATTATTAAAAACATTACAACAGATGAGTGTCTTTTAAATATTTAATGAATAATATACCGAAAAATTATTATATTGCAATGAGAAAGCAAGTAAAAATATATTTTTTATAATTTTTTAAATATTATTTCTTTTTGTCGCTAGATATCACAGTGTGCCCTCCTGCTCATCATTTTTATATAATTTTATAGTAATTATAACTATATTTTAATTATAATATTAATTTTTTAATAAAAAATCAAGTTTTTTTTCTATGTTAGAGCTAAAAAACATTTTTAAAATAATCTTAAATAAAATTAAAATTATTTTGGTATTATTGTTATTATTATTATTATTATTATTATTAGATATATATGATAGAGAATTAGAACATATTATTAAATTATTATTATTTAAAACATCATTAAATATTAAAAATATTATCTATTTGTGCTTATCTATTTGTGCAATCTATTTGCGATTAGGAAAATGATATAGATTATTTCTCATTTTTAATTAAAAGACATTCTTTGATAATTTAAATGTAATTTTTGGTTATTAAACTTCTCTCTAATGCCAAAATTTTACAAGTATTTTAATAGAACTGCATAGAATAGACTGCATAAGTGACTTGCGAGTCAAGTCAGTTTCCTTTTTATCTCGCATCCCCGGTTAATTTGTATTAAATATCCATGACGATATTTCCAGCCAAAGATGCCGCCACGCAAACGGAGGATTACGGATCTCCGGACGACGCCAGTTAGTACAGCGTGGCGGCAAGCCGGCAACCAACTCTGTTCCAACAGTTCCGGGCACAATATTCGTCGTCTATATCTCTACATCCGTGGGACGCATCACCCTCGCTGGCACGAGGGAGATTTTCGCGCGTCGCGACGATCGGATTAGGCCAGCATCATCGACACGGTCGACGGCATTATTTCGAATATGCATACTTCAGGAGCCTACCAGATCTCATTCAGGATCTAGAATCGCGGTAAAACATTAATTGCGAATCATATTCTCGAATCAGGGTATTACCTTTGTCACGTCGCGATTCGCATAAAAAAACCTTGATCTCACCGCGCTCTCATCAGCATATTATAATCGCGAACTCCACCCTCTGAGATTGAGCATACGTGAAGAGAGTGTCGACAGAGAGCGATAGTTTTCGTCGTGCGACAAAATCGATTACGGAAATTAATTATGGCACCGACGGGGATACTAATCGCACTGCTTTCGACGATGTACATGGAAATATTTAATCACGATGGAGCACTCTGCGAGTGTTAGCGTCATTCGCGCCCGCATTTGCCTCTTTCTCCACAATTAATTATTAACGCGTGAGTGTTCATACTACAAACGATGCGCTCAGGCGTATAATTGATCTTCCTTCCACGACTAACTTTTTCTTTACGATTTTTCAGAATACAAAATGATTGTTTGAAAGTACAGAAAGTCCTAAATCCACAGTACTCTTTTCAACAGTTTTTGATCAATTTAGAACTGAATCTTTCTTGAAAGAAATTTTATTTCCTTTTGAACATCTTATAATGTAACAGATCTGGCGATACAGTTATGGATTATAAAATCACTTAGCAAATAGATAAAATAAAATTCATGGAAATGAAAGATATATTTTAAAGTTTAATTGTTTGCTCAAGAGCTCATTAGGGTACAACCAATAATTACATTATATCCACGTCATAGACATTATTGTTATGTATATATTTCACGAAAAAAACCGACAAAGAGATGAGGAGAGTGCAAATATTCGAAAAATCACTGTTTTAATATTGCGGAGTTTTATACTATAAATGAATTAATGGAACGCACGATAATGACAATGTTCCTGCATTTTCAAAAATACATTTAATTCAATTTTACGCTTTCTGTAGAAAATCTCGTATCGCTACTACGAACAAATTATCTACAATGTTTCGTAAGAAATTTGTTCCAATGATGGTATTGTAAGACGAATTAATTACATTACTTTTGTTTAGCATAATGCAGATGGGACAATACAGAAACAGTCTGGTAAATTTAATTATGACAACTGAATTAATTATGATATAGCTTTCTATACATTTCTACGGAAAATACCAGCATCTGGGCTTTTATTTGAATTACTGAAAAATGTATGAAAAATATTAAGTTGATGCAAAAGGTTTACAAAAGTTTTGTTTTTCTTTTAAATTTTGTGTTAAATAAAGTTAAAAATTTAAAAATTCTTCTCAACTTTAATTTTTTAGCAGTTCGTTAAAACGAAAATAATTGAAAATTTTTTTGATATGAAAAAATATGTATTAAAACGATAAGCGAGTGATAACATGTGATAATTTTTGAACTTTGATTTTGTTTTCAATTTCGATAATGTGACAATCCTTTTGCACCAGCATAATATAATTATAGAATTAAGAAATTTTTAAGTACGAAGCTAGAAGACTAGTATAAAAATACATTATCGAAAGACTCATTGAAATATTCAAGAAATGGTAATAGTATCTCTGCTTTAAACGAGAAATATATGGAATCGATGCTGTTTTTTTTAACGTTATGTATTAGCGGAATATAATCTTCTTGTATAATCTTTTTGTATAAGAAAACATTACCTTCCATTGACACTAAGGACAGTAGGAAAATATGCTTTCAGACCGAAATAAGAAAGCGTTAAACTAATCATTCATTAAAAGTGAAACTTTTAATGAAATTAATTCTTATAAGTAAAATTTCGTCATTTTTATAAGTAAAATGTTCTCTCTTTTAGACTTTAATACGTGTAAAGTATAATTAATTTTTAATTTATAATTAAAAAATGTTTTGCATATTTCTGATGTGAAACGATTTATATATATGTATTTATATATACGATTTACAGGTGTATTTATGAGAAGTGATATTTTATTTACTAAAATTTTCTATTTAAAATTATAGATTTTTTATTAATTTTTTCTTTAGAGATTTTGTATTTTCTTTTTTTACTATTTATTCTCCATTTAAATTATTTGTTCTCAGGAATATGTATTATATATACATTCACACATAAATAAATTTTATATATTTTACGATGTTAGCTCTTTTTTTAATTGTATTAAAATATTATGTACAATTTTAATTTTTGCTATTTAAAATGTTCTCTAATAGTATATGAATTTTTTTAAATTATCAGATTTTATACGATAACTTGAATTCGTGCCAGATATCTATAAATTATGTAAAAATACATTGCTAGTCATGAAAAATCTTAAAAATAAATTTTTCATAAATTTATGTATGAAATTTTGCGATATATTTCTCGAAAACGAAAATAGATGCTGTTGCTAAGCACTTATATACTCCCATATCTTTGAAATAATAAAATCCATCTACTTTCGTTTAAATTAATTCGCACAGCTGACAGATCATTATTTATTTCTACTGTTGATAATGAAGCACACGCCTTAAATGGCAACATGAAACTCTTTGAAATATTTTCTTCGAGAGTTTTCTCATCTCGTTCAAGATGTTGCTTATTAAAAATACTTTCTATCTGTATAAGAAAAAATGAACATTGGAACATCTAATTAATTAGAAGAGTATACACATATACACGAGTAATTGAAGAAAAAAAGCGCAAGCGATAATACATTCTTTAAATATATCAAAAAGAATCACGTTCTTCGTGAATAATATAATTAATATAACAAATACAAAAAATAAATAAGATTTATGGAAAAAACAATTTATCTAAAAGATTATAACTCGGGAATACTTAAATTTATTCGAAGTTCTTCCATAACTTTTTTGACGATATAGAAAATAAATATTTCTCGCTCACGCTTTTATAAATCTTTCTCTCGCTCTTATTGTATTTATTTTATATAGCAAAATATTAATGCAAGAAATTCAAATTGTGTGCCGAATTAAACAAATGAAATTAGTTGTCTCGCAATAGCTATATATGCAAGATATCTCATATAAGATTTCACGAGCTGTATTCTGTAAGATTCTTAAAAAAAGAGACAAAATTCTTGTTTTATATTTTAGAAATGGTTCCTTTTTTGACATTTTAATTGAAAAGAAGAGGTTTTTAATGCAACTGTACATACATATATATATTTTCGAGATGTATCATATTAAAATCGCACAAATTGTTTAGCAATGTCGAGAATCGTCACTGAAATGTCTCAACGTGATAAAACTCAAATGCAAGCTTAACAATAGCGTTAAAAAGATTATAAGATAGAATAAGACGATTTAAAAAATTTAGGAAGAGGCATTATCTCGCTCTTCTAGGTATAGCCGATGTAAAGACTCTATCTAAAAGGACAGTAAAAATAAAGCACTGCCTGCAAATGATTCACCATCGATACGAGACGATTCATTGTTCTCGATGATCCCACGATCCACGTTAGTTTATATCGAATCAAATGCGAATCGTATTTGTATTGAATAAATCGATATATAGCGCGATTACGCATATATAGATAGAATTTTAAAGTAAGATTATTAGTCGAAAGCAAAAAAATAATGATTAGTTAGATATTATTGAATAGTCATGAAATTTTTAATAATCCACCACCGAATGAATGCCTTAATCGGGGAATCTTTTATAAATCGGCAGCATAGACTGAAAAGAAGAAGCAAATATTGTACATACTCTGCAAAAGATGGTGTTAGTCGGTTTAATTTGGCTATTTCTTGCAGAGTAAATAGGAATTGAGCATAATTTATTTAAGTACAATAATTGCACATTTTGTATTTATATTTAAATTATTACTAGGCCGATTAATATTGCTATTGTAAATCATCGTAAAATAAAATCTTAATTCTTTTTAGAGATTCGTTAAATTAAATTGTCCTGTAAATAATTTACGAGAAAGTTTAAGGACATAATATTACTCTTTATAATAAATCTTAATTACCAACTTAGCAATAATAATAATTATTTTTAAAAAATGTTTTCATTGGACAGTAATTATAAATTTTTCAGTGTAAAAAAAACAGACATGCAGGAACACATTGGTATAATATATGTACATGAATGTAAATCGCGCACACAAAGCGATACTAGCCGTACGTATATTTGCAATAAAGATTTAGTTATCTGCTGTGTATCGTTTTCTATAATAATAAAAAGATTGTTAACAGTAAGTCAATGAAAATTGATCGCTGGTCGATAACTTTATTTTTGAGTCAACTAAAGAAAAAACTATTTAAAAAAATTTAATTACTTGATTAATTAATCGATTATCATAATAAACTTTTCCAGATCATAGTAAATTACAGCGTCATAAAAAGACAAAACCATTACGTTGTATAAATAAGAACTTTTACTTATCGGAAAAATCCTTTTATTAAATATATTTTAACAAATTTTTTTCGGCGTTATATTAAATTATTTGATATGATAATCCTCCTTTATATTATTGCAAACGATTGTAAACGATTGTAACGCCAAATGATGTATATATCTATAATATGACATATATTTGTCAATAAATAATTAATTGATATAATAAAAATATTATTGCAATACATTTGCACCTTATTCTTGCTCCAATTGACAAGAATAAAATAGGATGATTTAAATATAAACAACAGCCATAATATATTAATATATACATATGTGTGTGTGTGTGTGTGTGTGTGTGTGTGTGTGTGTGTGTGTGTGTGTGTGTGTGTGTGTATGTTAGTAATACATGTATTTTGCAAAATTTTAAATGCATTATACGTAATGCTGTTGAATATTATTAAAATTTTGAACATATAGTAAAATACAAAATTTTAAATTTGTTGATACTAAGACAGAATCAGAGAAATAGTTATATATAGTGATTATTAAAATAATATTATAATCCAAAATTTTAAGCAAAAAATATTGCTTTATATGTCAACAATAAAAATTACATTCTACTTAAAATTGTATAGTTGGTTAAATATAAAAAAAATCAAATTTTAATGATTAAAATCTGAAAAGATTTTTTCACAGCCCAATATTTTTACTTATACATGCATATATAAAGTTAAAAGTTTTTTATATCTGCCTTTTACGTTGAAAAATGGAAATATTGTAATTATTTTAATATGAAGAAAAATATGTTATAACATAAAGATAAATGTGCAATTAATTTCGCAAAAATACATGTATATGAATATAGTAAATAAATAAATGACAATAAATTTACTCACTCTATGTGATTGCCCGACATCTCTCCAGATCTCATTCTTGTTTTATTCATCTCTTGTAGTTTTTGGCGCTCACAAAACTGTCCTTTGCTGATATTTCTGACACACTCACTCTTAAAAACGCGATTATAATCACATAAATCACATCAAATAAACGTACACGATACGAGCCATCGTTAATTCTAATAATTGCAAGAAAAGTAATCGCGTTTCAAAGTATAATTAATTGGAAAAGTTGAGAAAATAGAATATATTTCACATGAATGTTATAGCGCGTTAAATGATGCGTAACGTTCAACTATCCCGCAGCAAATAAATCAAAAATACACTGCGTGTTCGATTTGCCCATAGCGCGTTATTATTTCGATAATACTCACAAAAGATCTCGATAATATTCACAAAAACACTCATTCAACGTAACGATGATAAAAACGCGGCGCGACGTGTTATGGCCTTGAGTGTTGCCGCGCGAATGCCAAAGTCATAAACAACGCGCTACGTCACAGCTTAACACGTAGTACAATAATTCATTCGCTGCGAAGTCATTTAACGCGCTGTAAAATTCACGTGAATATTCTATTCGTTCAATTCTCTCTTCTAATCGATTATTAATAACCGGATAATATATCACGACTTCTCGGTACTAAATTAATTCAATTCTATAATTTGTATATTTCATAACGCACTCTCGATATAAAAATAATTGTTAAATTATATATCTTTTAAAATACAAAATACCAGGCAATAATTCCCTAGGAATGATTAAAGAATCACTAAATCAATTAGCGCGAAAATGAATCTTACGAATAACGACTTTTATAGAAATAGGATTGTTAGGGCTATTAGGTGATCATTAAGATTTTTTAAATTTTTCTTTCAAGAAATAAAGGATTGTTAGGGCTATTATGTGATAAATTTAGGTGATTAATATATTATACCGACCGTAGTTACTGATAGGATTACCCATACCGGACAAATCGAAGGGGAAGACTAAGAGAGATATCAAGATTATAAATATTTGTTATATTAATTATATTAATATTTTTAAATAAAATGTAAGAGAAAGGGACAATAATCGAGAAAACAAAAAAACGCAACTACAGTGATTTGAATATCTATATCTGAGAACAAATGTCCATAGAAAATATTGCGATGGACTCCTTAGGAAGGAATAAGCATGACTTTAGCTTTGTAGTTCATATCCACGTTTCAATGGCCACAGAGGGAGTATCGCTTTCAGAGATCACCTAAAAGCAGGCCGTGACGTCTCTCAGTCTTTCTCTGCTATTAAGGTGCAATTTCATTGACGCTAGAAATCAGCGGCAAATTAAAATCACTAGACTTTCTCTAGATATGGCGTCAATAAAATAAAGTTCAAACAGTTTCAACTTTTTCAGTGTGTAAAGCGGTCTTTTCATTGACGCTACTTTTTAGCGTCAATGAAATTGCACCTTAACAGTTGGCAGCCCTACGAGATAGGCTGTGCAGCACTGCGCGTATATAAAATAAATTTGAAATCGCTTCTAGCCTAACCATCTTCACGCGATCGACTTTATTTGAATTGCACGGCATCGCATCGAATTATGATGCGGCGCCGATTTGTTCGAACGTAATTCGGGACATCGCGATGCTGTATAAGCGTCGAATGAGCACGAATTATTACGCAAATATGATAAATCACATCTACTCACCGTTCACCGGCTGTTCCACAGGCCGCTCCACTCGCTCGCCTCGGGACGTCCCATTCCGATCTTGATGCACACGATATCATCAACGCGAACGCGCGACACTTTATTCGGCACTCCCGATATTCGCTCGCATCCGATAATCATCATCAAGGGCGCAAATAACGCGACGCGACTTCGCTCCATCTTCGCGATCGCGCTATCACTGAACTGTGAAAAATAGCTGTCGCGCACTTTCACCGACATATTATGAAAGTCGCGCGATCATCCTTGGACACTTTCGACGCTCTTTCACTCGCGATATTCGTTTAAAAACGGTTAAAAGACGCGAAAAATGTGGACGTACGACGATCCGTGTAACTGCGTATGACTCCGATTCACGTATGACGCGTATGACGTAGCAGTGACGCGTATGACGTAGCAGTCACGCGCTAACATGGCGGCCGAACCAGTGCGCAGAAACGAACGCGCGCACTGTTCGGCCGCCATGTTAGCGCGTCATACGTGAATCGGAGTCATACGCAGTTACACGGATCGTCGTACGTCCGCATTTTTCGCGTCTTTTAACCGTTTTTAAACGAATATCGCGAGTGAAAGAGTGTCGAAAGTGTCCAAGGATGATCGCGCGACTTTCATAATATGTCGGTGAAAGTGCGCGACAGCTATTTTTCACAGTTCAGTGATAGCGCGATCGCGAAGATGGAGCGAAGTCGCGTCGCGTTATTTGCGCCCTTGATGATGATTATCGGATGCGAGCGAATATCGGGAGTGCCGAATAAAGTGTCGCGCATTCGCGTTGATGATATCGTGTGCATCAAGATCGGAATGGGACGTCCCGAGGCGAGCGAGTGGAGCGGCCTGTGGAACAGCCGGTGAACGGTGAGTAGATGTGATTTATCATATTTGCGTGACAATTCGTGCTCATTCGACGCTTATACAGCATCGCGATGTCCCGAATTACGTTCGAACAAATCGGCGCCGCATCATAATTCGATGCGATGCCGTGCAATTCAAATAAAGTCGATCGCGTAAAGATGGTTAGGCTAGAAGCGATTTCAAATTTATTTTATATACGCGCAGTGCTGCACAGCCTATCTCGTAGGGCTGCCAACTGTTAAGATGCAATTTCATTGATGCTAAAAAGTAGCGTCAATGAAAAGGCCGCTTTACACATGTTCGGACGTGTCGTGACGTCATTTGCGCGGCGTACTTTAAGCGGGTGACCAGCAGTGCGTCATACTTTCGGAAAGCACGCGTGGACTTGTTATTTAAAATTATTTAAATAAATCAGCTCAATTATAGTCAATTTCCGCGACTCGTAAGCTCTTGAGACGATGGCTATTCAATTAAATATCAGAATAAGTACTGAAATCATCATGTTTATTTCAAATCGAATTGAAGCGTAGTAGCTTATGAATCCGCAATACATTAAAGTATGCCATGATATATTTTCCGTTTAACAATAATAATTATATTCTGAAGAATTTATCGTCTAATAGATATATATTTCACGTTTGAAATATTCTGCTTCGTTTTTCAGTGTAATAAAATCTACATCGCGTTCGATTAATATCGGGAGTGTCGTTTGAATCAAGTGTATTTTTACGAATGAATGTCCTATAAATCCCATGTCAGTCAAAGAAAATATGAAGACATGGAAAGAATCAGGATCATCAAGCTGTGACATTGTTATTGCGCATCTTGTGTCGGTGAGTTTAAAATTATTTTTTATTTCATTTTTGTAAATAAAATATATGAAGTAAGATATGAATCTGTGAGAGTTACATATATTATGAGATTCAGATTTGTAGCATCTCATAGATTCACTGTTTTGGAAATGGGCTAAAAATAAAATAATAGAAGATTTTATATTATATTTTATTTTTTATATACCTGTTTAATGGCGATTGCAATAAAATACAGATTACTTAATGTAGCCGAGGTAGTGAGCACTTTTTAATATGCTACAATGTAAAGAAGTAGCTTAAATAGTTTGTGATTTAGTACATTTTGCATTTTTTTAAGTCAACTAATTAAAATACATTTCAAACTGTACTCATGTAATAATCTTATATACTATTTATACATTTTTTAATTTATGGATAACAAATGGAATTTAACGTTAAAATTAATTCTGTTTCATAAATCTTTGAGGCAATGTTAATATTATTATAAAACGATTTTCCGCGCGCGTATCTCAGTTATAAGCTCGTATTTATAAAATCCAATATATACAGTGGAATGTTATTTTGAGTTTTAACCGATGCAAGTGTATTTTCAGAATTAAAGTTAAAGTAAAATCCAAAATTGATATTTATAAAAATACAAAAAAGATTTTCTTACATTTACGATAATATAATCCACGAAAAAAGGAGTCAATTCATTTTATATCGTTTTAGCACTAAATCTACTTAAGAGTTGCAGCATTAAGAACTAAAACTTATTAATTATTGATTATATAATTTTTCATTGTTAAATTGAAATAAGTTTATAAATGGGTATATATATATCTGTTTCGTTATATCAATATTTGTAAAAATAATCTCACTTCTTGAACATATATATTCTTAATGCTTATTAATATGTATTTAAATCTTACTTAACTATCCAATCTTTTTATTAAAAAATTTACCAATATTATTAATAATTTTCTATTATTTCAAATAATGAAAAAAGTATTATTTAATTTATTATATTAAAATATATAATTTTTATTCTTTAATGGCACAATTTAAAAAATGAAATAAAGTTATGCTACATTATATCTATATTTCATAAATATTACTTATTGAAGCTGTAATGAATATTTTATCATAACATCTGTAACGAATATAATAGAATTGTAAGTAAAATTTTTAACATTAAAATTAAATTAAAAATATAAATTATTTATTTGATAAATTATTTATTTTTAAAATACATTTCCGAAACTCATTATTATCTATTAACAATAACAATTATCATTCATAAACTTTGTAACCTCAAGTTTGCATACTTAAAAAAAATAATTAATAATTAAAAAAAATAATTAAATATTTTATATGCGCGATTCTCCTGATCCGCGCAACAATGTGATTATATAATGTACTTTTTTAGTTTTAGTTTTTTAAATAGTATATATTTTTTTAATATCTGTTATAACAAAGTGTGATGTTGAATATTACAAGCAAATTAACAATTAAAACATATTTTCATAATTTTATACGAGTTTCTAATCGTTCTCATAAAAATTTCACAGAATAACAATTCAGAATTTTGTCTACAATCTATGATACATGTATTTAGACAGTCGCACACATTTCTATACGCATATACATATGTCTTCAATAAAGTTATAAATGGATCTTACAGCATTATTCAAACTTATTATTTGATTTCTCATATTTATTTCCTGATATCTAACGCGCCGATTATTAATGTTTAGTAAATGGCGCGTGCAACGCATTAATGTCGAGCAACGACATTGCAAATTCACGAGAAATATTCTCAAATGTACATCTCAGTATTTAATGCAATACTGTGTCAATCTCAAATTCTTTGCAAATTACACAGTATATTAAATATTAATTTCTGTACAAAATTAGATTAAATGCTTGCATATATGTATATAGTTACACACTAAAATCTCTTAAATATATCAAAAGCGAAATATTTGTGTTATAAAAATGGAATTAGTATGCATTGCATCTTATATGCATTGATCGATAAGTATATATAATCTTATAAAATGTTTCATTTTGACATCAAAATTGCTATTTTCGTGCAAATCATAAAGAATTAAATATTTCATTGCTGTTTTCAGTCATTTTAAAAGCAATTAATAAAGATTAATATGTAATAATGTGTGAAGATATCAATTTGTATTAAAGATTTATTCTAATTAACTTACAAACTTTAATACAGTTACCAATTTAGTACAGTTTAGTAACTTATGTATAATTCATATATTTCCACATTTACCTTTTTTATGATAATACTATGAAAAGTAATATTTTACTTACTATTAATCTACATAGATTATTAATTTATTTCGGAAATTTATTCGTATCCTTCTAAAAAAATCTTAAATAACGCATATTTTGAAAAATAGTTTTAAATAACAATTACACAGTTATTTATTATGAATTAAATTTGCAATGAAAATAGCTTTCTACAAAAACGTATTGGAACAATGCATATGATTCAAATAATGGAAAACCAGAAAAGCATTCCATTTTTTGTAATATACAGGTGATCCAAATGCAATATATATTTATCGCATTAATATTCATCAAATAAAATTTATTAAGACATATCTATAATTGCTAGAATTTTAATATTATGCTATGCAAAAGCTAATGTCGCAATTCTGTTGCATTATTATAGATTTCATATTTTTCAAACTGTATATACAAAAAATTTACTTTCTACACCACATGCATTCGCGATATTCATTCAGTTTCACAACAATCGATAATTTTTGATAAACTGACTTGTCGAACACGCTTTTAATCGCTTCAGAGTTTACATATTTATTCATATATTGTTCGATATGACTTCTATTTTTTTCATATGAACTTCTTTTACATATATCGCTAGGAATGTCACAGATTTACTAATAATATACAAATTGTGTGTGCCAGAGAAGGTAGCTATTTATATTATATTATCGATGGAATGTAACATTTTTCAAATGTTGGACTCAAAGTTTAATTATTTATAATGCTTAAATATGAGATTCCCAGAGATGATTATGAAAAGAAAAAACTCGCTATACTTCACTGACGAAATTAGTTATGAATGTTTTATAAATAATATAGATTGCAAATGTAATATATGTATTTGGTGTGTGTTCGTGTGTGTATACAAAGTTTTTTTATAATTAAAAACAAAATTTTATGTTAATATCTTGAATAGATTTTTTAAAAATGACACGTAACGCAATTAGTGAAATATTCTATACATATACTTTCTTTTTCGACGGATATATTTATCACTCGCGTCATCGTGTCATGTAAAATATACTTCTATTTGTCGGTAATATATAGCGCATTTTCTCTGTTAAACTTATTAATTTTTAGAACAAATTTAATGTCATATTTATAAAATCCTGATATTATAAAATAACTTATTCTTTATCGGCAGCGCTTGCAGTCCGTATATATGCACATCAGTCAAATAATGTTAGCAATTATCTATTTCATTAAAGTTATATGTCTATTTTTAAACAACATGTTTCACAATAATGATCAAAATATATTATGTGTCAGAGCTATTCATACATAGCATGGAATGTACACGTAATAATAAGATAAGAAAATCGCCTATAAATAAAAATATATGTGTAAAATTAAACACTAAAAATGCTTCGTCATATTATCACTACGAAGAGTTAATCTAAACATAGTATTTATCGCACGCAGTACATCTGAAGCTTAATAATGTCTTTATCCCCTGGCTAAAAAATTTACCATTCCTTTGTATAAATAACGAGTTTTTAATTACGATTGTCACCTTAGCCAATATCCATTACATTTTTACGATACGATAATAAAAACTTGAACAAATATTATATATATATATATATATATATATAATATATATATATATATATTTATATATATATATATATATAATATATATATATATTATATATATATATATATATATATCGCGAGAAATAAAATATTTTCAGATCGGACTGGCGAAATATGATACATATAATTCATCAAATGATATCTCTAGATTTAGATCTAGATTTGGTAATGCTAAAACACATTAACTAAAGGGAACAACGTATCATCTAATGACGAAAGATAACATTACAATAATAAACATTGGTGCACTTAGGCTAAAACTATTTGCGGACGCACAATGGAGATAGTCTTTGTGATAATACGTGGAAGGTGGATGTTCATCCCCTGGTTTGCACCATTCGCCTCGTGCTTTAAATTCCGCCTTACAAAATAAAACAGATTAATAAATAAGCTAATAAAATAAGCTAATAAATATATACATATTTATATAATATTCATACTTGACAAATATCTCGGCAAGGTGGACAGATTAAAGCACCTTTATGCAGCCAACCATTCTGCATAATTCTTATAATAATTTCCTGTCCAGCATGATAGCAAGTATAAGTGTAATTGCCAACCTAAAAGGACAAAATATTTTTCTTTTCATCTATTCATCGTAATATATATTATATTCTGTTTAAGTTATATTTAATATTTACGAAAGCGTTTCGTCACGATGTAATAAACTCACCATAATGTGCAATCTGCCGACGTCGCATTTGTATAAATAACAACCAGAGCCCCAATGCTGCCACTGTCGCGCTTGCTTGCAAGTTCTTTCTTCCCACATGTCATTAGTGTGGTCGAAGCATCTCGAATGAGGACCATACTTTTCTAATGCGAAATTTTTATCCGGATCTAAAAGAAGGATATATTTCAAAAGAGATTCATTATGCATTTCTTTGCGACGTGTGCGAGATGTGCGCCTTACGCGGATTATTTTCCTCATAAAGACAGTGAGAACCCCTGACTACTATATTCTTTGCCCTCCACGTAAATTCCTGTATGTAAGGACAATAATCCGCCAGAGATACCGAACCGCCGTAGTATTGTTCCTCTCCGGGTGGTACGTGAGGTATTTTATCGAAGTTCTGCAACAGAAGAAATCGTCAATCCAGATTCTTCACATACCGCGAATATTCTCATACGATCGATGTTCATCCATCGATTATTTTATATAGACATTTTTCTCTCTTCCTCTCTTTTCTAACTTTTTTTTTTAATATTCTAATAAATCATTATATATCTTTTACTTGGTATTTCTTGGGCAGTGATTGCGAGTGTTTTACTAAATTACACAAGGCCACTGAACTTCGATCGTCCGTACATTCGGTTTGCAACGGATCCTGCTTCACTTTGTTACAAAAAGGATGGATCGATTTTCCCCTAAAACATTGAAATATTTTCATGTAATCATTACGATACAAGGTCTTCTTTCCTGAATATCTCAATATACTTACGATAGCGGGGATGATTTGGAAGATATCCATTCCTTACAGGATTTCATGGCAAAGTTGCATCCTAGATTTTTCCCCCATCCTAGCTCTTGCGCCATCGAATAGTTGGCGCTATACCAACCAGTATCTTCCATAAGAGCGAGCGTTATTCTCGAGTAAACTGGATTTTGCGTGTGTGTGCCCGTCATAGCTTCGTTCTGAATAAACAGAAAAATCAATTTAGAATAGAGCAAACGTTGTGTCTAAATTTTTTATTGAAATATTTATTGTAAATTATGAAATATATAGATTTGCGAATGTTTCAATTTTTTTCTTAAATATTATTGCATTACATGTGAATAACAAAGAGTTAAATCGGGGATTCTGAGCATTGGATACCTCAAACACGCGCTTCTCCCAATGCGTGAGAGCCGTACCGTCCTCGCCCTGATCCTCCAATTCCGCACCCTCAAGTTCCGGGCAATTGAAGTGCGCTTGAACCTCGGCGCGGACGCGAGGCGTGACTATCATTTGCATGGTCCTCTCCACGTAACCGCCGTGCACTTGCCAGCGAGGTCTGACCACAGTTTTGATCGTATTCTCGCTCCATTGGTGCGTTTGTAACCTATCCGAAACGAATATCGAATATTATTAACATGTTGATTCGATAATCGAAAGCTACTGTTTGTCTCATCCGATATAATAATTTCACCGAAATATAATATCGTACATCACACTGCGGATATTCGCGAATGCATAAAACTAATCTCGAATTATTTAACATATTCGCAAGAAAGTAAATAATAAAAAATTATCGAAATTCCTCGCTCCATATCGGAATAATTAATCTATCCCAAAATGGAAAATCAATAAAATGATTTGTGCTGATTTCAAATCATATCAAAACGCTTGACACGATTATTTATTTATTTAATTTCGATTTATTTAATTTCATTTTTTTAGTATTTTTTCTCTGATATTTTCTTCTATACGATGTAATATCTCTGTATATGTTTTCTATTCTATATATATTTTCTTCTCGATTTATATCAGCAAAATAGCGAAAGTTTGTCTATAACATATTTACTACGTGTCAAATGTTGAATATCCTCATAACTTTACAGTGCTGTGTGTGAGCAGATAAATATAATTGTACCTCAATCTCTCTTTTTCTCTCTCGCATTCTCTCTCTTCGTTTATCCGTATAAAATGATTGATGCGATACGTCGACGAAACGCTGTTTTCGACAGCAAGCGGCCCTTTCTATATCCTATTTCGACATGACGGATGAATTCGCGAATGGCCATTTTCCCGGGAACGAGCACGAGGTGAAAAATATTATTACGCTTGAGCATCAGCACAAAATTGCTCGTCAACGTATCTCATATGCATAAATTGTTAGAAATAGTGTGAATAATGAAAATAACATGATAGATCGCGAATATATAGAAATCGAATGTAACATCGCCTGAAAAAAGAATTGTTTCAATTTCACATCATGAGACAACGAAGGAGATTAAATTCATGTAAAAATTCCATCGTGAAAATGTTTTTGAGTCTCATCAAAACTCTTTTCGAAGTTAATTCGCAGCAAATGAGTTATAAAAGTATATCGCTATGCGAATATTGTTACATTTTTTATCAATTTGCTGTTGCGTAGTTTAAAACAATGATTTCAATTATCACGTAGCAATTAAGTTATCAAATTCGCATGTTTGAATAATGCGGATAATTTGCATGTATGTAAAATGGCTAATTAAAACGGATAGGGAGAAACTGATGTAAATATATAACTAATTAAGGCTGAAGACTTAATCAGCTAATTACTATTAATAAAAATAACTTTAGACAAAATTATTATTTATTAATTATTAATTATTTATCTCAAAGGTAAAAATAGCTCATCAATCACAAATAATTACATCTAATATCATAACATTGTATTGCAAAATCTATATTTTATTGAAATCTAAGATTACCTCTCCCCCTCCCTCTCTCTTCGCATACGTTGCTACGGATTAGCGTAAACCTTAAACGTAAGAGGATCCCCGTAGAGATATTCAGACAGTAGGGTGAGAACGCTCGTGTTCACGAGCAGATGGATGGCAGGAAATGCAAGGAAACGCTGGAATTTGTAACAGAGAACGCGCAGATTGCGAAGCCGAGCGAAAACGGACGGAAAGGACGACTAGAACTAAAATGAGAAGCAGCGAAGGAGAGTAAGAGGGTTTCCAGTAAGATAGACGAAAGGTAGAGGGAGGAGGCAAGGAAATTAAAAGGACAAGCGGCTGCGAGAAGGGAGAAAGAGAGAACGAGCAGTTATCTCTGACGAAAATCTCTCTGTCCCTCAATTTGAGTTCTGGGACATCGTCGAGAAAGAATCAAAACTCCGGCAAAAAGTTCTCGAGAGCTTAAGAAGTTCTGCATACATTACTGAGTGGCTTCATAATTTTCCAACGTTATGCAAAGCAATGAGTGATGTTCTATCAGAGAGAAAAGAGAAGAAAAGAGAGAGAATTTTTATCTCTGTCATCATTCGAAATGTAAATCAACACGAGAATTCATGAGATCAGTTGAAAAAACCAGTCGCATTGAAGAAATGCATTGAGAACATAGTGGAAAATTATACGCTGGAGTGATCTTTAAAAAGAACCGAGAATGCCAGAATCATTCCCGAAATCTATTATGAAACGCTATAGATCTGTTGTTGGAATTTCGCGATTCGCGAAGTGAAAAGGCGTCGATTTTCACAACTTAGTAAAGAGACTCGAGAGCGAGATAGCGAATGGGAAAAATAACGAAAAAACAATGAGAACAGAAGATGTAACTACGAGAGTAGCGAAAGAGGGGGCAAAAGGAAGGGCATGCTAAGAAAGGGCATCTGCCAACGCCGGAAGCCAGTTCGTTACGGTCCGTCGACTTGGATGGAACAGAAAAATACCAGGAATTTTCCAATTTTAAAGGCAGATACACCATCAGACAACAGAAAAGAAGAAGTGAAAAAAAGAATCAACACATTCATAATAGAATAATAAATTGGTGAAAGAAACAGGATGCTTGTTTCTGTCAATATACAGAAGCATTATAACAATAATGTCAGCGAAATTAAATATAAATTAATTAACTAAAAACTGTATCATAGAAAATTTCATAAAAATAATCATATTAAATATTAAGAGAGTTTGATCGATGATACCATAAATCATATATCATCTATATAATGAATAATATCTGTTTTCTAATTTTGAAAAAATCCTTAATGGTAACTTTATGCTAACGGTTTAAGCTTTATCTATAGAAATCTACATAAAGGGAATCGATCGCAGATAGTGCGATATTTGGTATTCTAACTAGAGTATCAGACATTCCTTGAATACGTAACTGCATCGTGTAATATTTGCAATCGAATCTAAAATACATCTCTGCGTTCGAAAATTTATTAATTTTCAGATATTATTTTTACATATTATGATAATAATTTAATCAAATAATCAATTTTGTTCTATATCTTTCACGCTACAATAAAGGAAATTTAATATAAGACGTACAAGATAAAACGTACTTTTCATTAAGGGGTGGTTTTCCGGTATCGCTTCTTCTGGGCGTCCTGGGTTCGCCATTCTCATCCCTGTAGAAAGCGTATAAACTCACGGAAAATCCTAAAGCGTGCAGGATCTCGTGTTTAACAGTGCTGAGCAACGTTTCCAATTCTTGCGGTTTCGTGCTGATGCTTCCCGGGCATAGGTTGGCATGGCCAGCTATCGGCCTGGAAGCAATTTAGTTCACTTCAGCAGCTGCGAAATTTCTTTTTGTTTTATTTTAATTACAGCATCTCAAATTTGTATTATTATCTCTTCGCAAAAACTCTTAAAGATGCTTACAAAACAGATACACATAAGGTATAAATTAAAACATGTACAAAAATTACTGTGTATAAATATCATGTTTTTTAATCGACATTAAAGGCCGCAAAAAATATTTTACGCATACATTTTTATGCATACATTATGTAAAATATATTTTTTTGCACTCGAATATTTCAAGGGGTTTAAGCGTTGCCATAAGCATGTGGCAACGCGACGCACGAATATCGTCGATCTATCACGATCAGACGTCGTGCGAATAATAAAATTTGCGCAACGCCATTTACATCGACCGTGGTACGACGTACGCGACGTATGTACCTGACAGACGAATTTAATCTACTCAATATGCGTTCACGTTTCGGCAGATTCATTAAGTTAGATATCAAATCACACACGCATCGAGTTTTGCTTTTATAATTTTCCATTACAAATTTGATTTTATAAAATATTGTCTAAGTCACAAACTATTTTTTCATGCATTTTAAATAATCATTAATTTTAATAATAAAATTTATTTAATCATATATAAATTATTTGTTTCACATGATGATTAATACAATTGTAGCTTTAGCAACAAATTCGAAATAAAAATAAATTCAACAACGTTTAATGATTATTTGTTGTATAAATAAAACAAAAAATTTTTTTAAATTAAAGTCATTAATATGAGTGTTGAATCGCTTGTACAAACAATTCCTCTTATAAATCCTGTCAAATATTTAATCCGACGTCCTCATGAAATATATTCATGCCAGATGTTGTTTGCCTTCATTTTATCCTTCTGTTCATACAAACGGAAATTGCGTATGTTTCAATCATGTGACAGGCAACTTATTCAATATATTATTAATTATGTTCTCTCAAATGTCAAAGTATCACGAAAACTGTGCGTATTTAATATATAAAATTTTTATCAATAATATTATAAACTATTGGTTTAATCTATTGCATATATTATTATTATATATTATTATTGTTATTAAAAAAATATTGCTTTCTTCGAATAACTTACCGATCTAAAGCAGCTTCCTGTTGACAATGAGCAGCATAGGCTACTGTTAAGCCTTTGTGACATCTCTCAGTCTGCATAGCAGATACATAGAAGACAAAATCGGCACCATCAATTCCTGGACCTGCTTTACTTCCTTTAGCAATTTCGCAATTGTGTCCTGTCGCGTTACAAGTTCTGCAGACCTGCGTATTTAAGAATATAAAACAAATCGCTGAAGAAAACGCTATTGATGTCTTAAAGAGATCGAATTATTTGGAATAATTATCGATTTAAAAAAATATATATATAGTCTATTGACGTCAAAAGAATTTTATAACGACATAAAATGATACAGAGACAGTCATGTTCATAGCATAATAAGTGTCAAACATAAAGTACTGTAAAGAAGATTGTAGCCTGTAAACAAGGAAGTATCCGGAGACATTAAGGCTGATGAACGGGGATGGAGAATCACATTACCGTCGAGATACCTTCGGCGAGAAGGTAAATAATTTTACGCCATCAGTGAATATTGTCAACGACAAGGACGATGACGCCTTCGCTCTAATAAGTTATCCGACACCAATTCGCCTCTCAGGGCTACTCATCAATTAGCGCCTCTCGTTTCTAGGTTGCTATCATTAAAGCACATCCCTTCAATACGACCCTTAGATAATCGATCAAGATGAAGCAACAATGAAATATCGTACCTCTTATTTCGATGGCTATACACGTTCTATATTAAAATATAGGGATCGTGCTTTCTGTAACGATCACAAGCTATCATCTCTCATGAACAAAAAATTCTTTAAGCTAAATTTTATTTTCATATATTATGAGCAATAGTCATAATATTTTTTAAATAAAAATGTCGATAAAATTATGAAAATATATATTCAATATTATAATTTAATATAAATTATTGTAATATCTAATCATTAATTTTGATAATTATAAACTTAATGAATCGACATATTCTGAAGATAATATTAAAATTTATATTTTAACAGCAAAGTAGATAATATTAAAAACTCCGGATTATATATGTTTATTTTAAATAAACACCTGTCGCTGACTCATGTCACTCAATATTATAAATAATGAAAATGTTCAATTATCTGGTCTAGTATATCAGAATCTACTTAATATCAAGTTCAAATGGATAAGTTATAATACAATTAAAAAGTTAAATTTAATAAGGCAAAATATCGAAACTAAGTTTTATCAATTCATCTTAATATCGTACCTCTTATATATTTTTTAATATTATAAAGTATTTGAAATAAAAAATTAATTTTTAACGTATAAATTCTTTATTATCTTTTTATAGAAAATAATTGCTAGAAATAAATAATAATAATAAATTATTCGCCACATATTTATTTCTCTCATAATTGATTAATTTTCATGATTCTATATATTAAAATAAATATCACTATAAAATTAATTACAAAAATTAATTTAAAAAAAGATTTTTACATTAAAAAAAGATATAAATTTCTGATCATTATACGTTGTAATACAAGTAGCGTGAAGCAAGAAAGTTATAAATTTCATATATTTTGCCATTACACGAAATAGAGCACTCGATCTATTCCTTTGACTAGCTTCGATATTTATTGCACGGTTTAACTCGACTTAGGCAACTTATCGGGTAATTACTTACGTCAAGATGGTCCTCCGGGACGACTACCTCGCCGCACATAGTAACAGAGCGACAAGTATCTATACAGTGTGTGTGATGGTTCTTGACGAAAACTTGACTACTCTCGCATTTCCTGCAAGCACATCAATATATCAGAAAATATAGATATAAAACTCATGGGAATTAGATTGTATGAATTTCCTAGCACATCAAAATACTGAAAATTACTTATGGAAATAAAGTTCATTGAATTTAAATTATAAAACATCGTATTAGATTGAAAGTCACTCAACATTATTTAATAAATTCATAATATAAATTAACATCACTTTCTGCGGCACATTTATTCAATAGATTTGTATAAATATGAAAGTTTCAATATAAATTCCCAATCATGCTAAAGTTTTAATTCAGACGTTCAGTAAAAACGTTTCGTATCGTCATTCACATAAATTTGCTCGTAAATCAGCTCGTTTCAAAGAAGGAAACTATCAAGACTTACAAGTGAAAAGTGCAGGATTTTATTTTCTTATTTTATTGAACATGCTTTCTGCAAGAATGTGCGAAATTACTAGCCGTCACTTAAATGAAAGCACCTGAAAGGAAGTCAGTTGAAATTACAAATATTAATAAAAAGAACTTGAAAAGAATAGTTACTTTGGACACGAAGGAACATAAAATATTTATGAGGCCTTGCATTATATTATATAAAAGCATTATTTGGAGAAAAATTAATGACAATATAACATCATATAATTGAAAATATCACTATATACTGAACATTGTAATTTATACTATAATACCATCTTTAATGCAAATTATTCTTCAAACATTTATTTCCGAATAAGAGATTTAATTAAATGATATACATTAGAAATTGTTTTTATATATGCGTATATCAATTATAAAAAATTTTTATTTAATATTTAGATAATTAAATTATATGATAATTAAATTATATGCGTAGTTAATATTTATCAATTTCTTACGCTTATTAACAGAAATATCTGGACATTTAAATTTCAAATTAATATTTTATTGTTGATCAAAAATTAATTATGTAAATATGCTATGTAAATTAATATTATATCAATTATATTGACATAATATAATGAAGCTAATAAACTTCATACTATCCTCTTTATATGAAAAGTCTTTTTTTAAAAGACCATCTTCACGCGTTTTTGAACAATATTATCCACGAGTTAAAGTATAGCAACGATGTTCTATGACATCCCGATGGAACTGAAACTACCAACGCAGGACAACGATCTTCCATCGACATTGTGGACGATATCGAATCACTAGTATATACTTTTATACGGTAAAAGTGGATACGACTATATCAGATACGATGGCGTTCTCGGAAAGCAAGGATAAAGAAGGCTCCAGGGAGAGGTGAGCACTAAAGAGAAGGTGCACTCCGCTAAATAAACGTCGTGACACAAACGTGTTTGACATTCGCAATGAAGAAGATGTTTCCGCTTGATGTTACACAAAAGTTGAAAAAAAACACGACATACTATCTAGTGATGAATTTCAATGGAAATAAAAAATAATTAATAAATTCTAGTAATAGGAAACATGATTTTTATCTATGGAATTTTTATGCAAATAATAATCATATATCTTTCAATCATTTAGGCTAATTAATCTTTTTAGTGGAATGTATTAATTGTATTTTGACAACAATATATATAAAATAATTATATATAGCATTATATTAAAAGCCTTGAAAATATCAATAATAAATTTACTACAGGATCACTTACAATAATTACAAATACTATATTATAATATATGTATAACGTATATTTCAAATATATGTATATTAATGTATATAATATATATTTCAAATATGTATATTAATGAATATAATGTATATTACAAGTGATAATAAGGAAATTAAGTAAATCGTGTATTGTGTTTTTGTGGGTATATGTGTGTGTGTGTGAGAAGCTCATTTTCATTAAACAATATGCGAATAATGCCAACAGTGCAACATCGATCAAATGGTAAAACTGAACAATGCAAGAAATTAATTAATGTCGCATCAATAATGAGAAAAAATTTTGTTTTCCCGATGTAAATCATATATATTATAATATAAATCATGTATATTACTATTAAACAGGTTGTATAATTCTTTATAATAATAAAGGAGAAAAAATTAACTTCTTGGGGAACCAATACATTACATGTGAATCTGAAAAAGCTTAATCGTTCGTTAAATCTGGCCTTCGCGGCTTCGAGAGGTATATGCCAAGTGTTTAAGTCGCTAATCGGATCACGTTCTGGTTTAGTTGATTTGCATAAAGTAAAGTAGTTTTCCGGCTCCGTCGAGGAATTGCAGATCCGGATCGCCAGACACGGACATCTGCCTATTTGAGAGATTTTAGTTCACAGAAAAGCTGCTTGCTATACTTATTCTGCATTGTAGTGAAAATATTTCTCAACATGTTCTAAAATCTGCTAAAATCACAGAGACTAAATCTTTCAATTTCTTGAAATTTATTATTTTAATTTTACGTAATGACGAGTTAAAAAATGCAAACTTCGAGACGCAGGCCATAAATAGTATGTACAACAGTTTCCAGACAATTTACTATTCCGCTAAGAGTATTCTCCGACTCCTTCTCCATTCAAAATCTTCACAAGGAGGTGCAACTTAAACCGCTTTTCCGTTGCCGACGCGAGATACATTCTTGTCAAGATAGAATCTTGCAATTTTTGTGACTTTGCGCAGTCGGCTCGATATCGCTACAGATTTTCCAAGAAAATTATGTGCATTTTTCTCTCTCGAAAAAAGCAAAACAATTTTAAACAGTCCCCTTACAAATATAATATAGCTACAAAATATACATAACATTAAATTTTTTCTTATTTCTTGACTAATTCCATGTATGTATGTTTTTTTTTTAGAAAATCTTGAAAGATATCCACAGTTAATATACTCGGCTATTTTTATTTTGCTTATAATAATAAGCAAAATAAAAATATTCGCAAATAAATTTTATAGAAAAAAATAAAGATAATAAAATTATTTTTTATTTAATTTTAAATCAGTTTTACTTTAAAATTTAATTAAAGCCTAATTACATCATAATAATTCAAAAAATTAATGTAATGAAAAAAATAACATGTAATCAATTTTTTACTAAAATATATATAAAAATTTTTAAATATATTGTGTGTGTGTGTATACACACACAATATATAAGAAGAAATAAGCGTTTAAAATCTTATATGTTACAATTTAATATCAATAATAATGATTCTTCTTTCTCGAAAGATCAATAAACGAAATAAGAAGCAAACTTATTTATTTTTTACTGCTGAATATTTACCGCATACTTACCACATAAGGCATAAGTTAAACATTATTTTTATTTATTATATAATTATTTTAATTCTTTATATTAAAGTGTATTTATTATGTATTATATATTTATTATGTATTTATTATGTACATACTCAAGAGTATAGCAATTTATTTCAGAGTAATTGCCTCATATTTGCCCAATGTGCAAATTTAATCCAATGTGAGAGCGCGGATTACAGAGTTAGCGCTTAATCCCTTTGGGATGACGATTGATCCTACCAAAATGACGTTCGATCCTATCTAAATGCACACATATGTGCAAACAATGAATAAGCGAAAATCCTCTCTGTTACGGTAATCAGCGATCCATTGTATTGGTAGATGTAACAATATATACACACATATGCACGCGCCATAAATCATATATGTAATCATTCTATTATAATTCAAAATTTATACATTCTTTACATATAAATACATACTATTAAAAATTTATATTAATATCGTGATATAAAGCGTAAGAAAATTTTAAAGAAGTGCGTTACACATTTTTTTTAAGAATATAATATCTTTTATATATTTTATTTAAGATGCTGAAAACTTTTCAAAACTTAATTTATGATATAAAAATATAACTACTACTATCATTCATGTCATATGCTATAATTATCAGATTACAAGAATGTTTATTTATACACAAACGTGATCCTAAATTAAAAGCATAAAAAATTCTCGTATCACCCCTAGCCACTTTGATATTTTGAAAATTCGGAAATACTTTCCGGTGAAGACGAAGATGCTGATGGTGACTTCCAAAGAACTTTATCGTTCAGGTAACTTAAAGGAGTCCTGAGCACTTTGAAAGCACCATTCCGCCGCACTTACCCGGGACACGTAATGTCGGGAGTACGGATTTGTTGCAGTGACACGCTTTCTGCATTACCAAGAGCTCGTTGGGTACAGGCACCAACCCAACATCCTTCGGTTTCTCCGAAGTCGTATAACAGCTGGTGAAAACCGCATGATTCACATTTATCACGTGGTTGGGCGGAAAAAATCGATTAAAAATTAATGTACAAATTTTGAACAGAGATGATGCTTCCACGTATACGTATTAAAGAATTAAAATTTTTTTGTTTCCCACTATTTGAAAAATGTTCAACTGCATGTAATTTTTTTTTTACACAAAGTAATATCAAAGTAGTTAAAAATATATTCAATTTTCAAAAGCAATATAAAAATTTCTAAAGTTTTATTGATATCATTATACCGTAGATATTCACAGTATCCGAGTTATACTGTTCCTCACTTAACACTCGAGTCAACCTTTGTAGCGAGCATACTACTGAGAGATAAAAGCAGAAGGCGTTTATGCAGTTTATATGCTCGCATATACGTAAAACTGTATATAAGCGCATAACCGAGAATGCTCATTTTCCTTTGAAACCGGAAATCCGTTATATTCGTCCTTTTCCTGCATCCTTTCGGCAATAGTCGCTTACATTTCCCTTGTTATAATAAGAAGCAATAACGCGATTCTAAACCTAGTCTCTTCTTCTCTTCGAAATTTAATACATTTACATTCGTTAAATTCGTATCACTTTACGACAGCATTCTTATGTTTTATTTACATACTATGTATCTACAAAATATTAATGAATATACTTCAAGACATGGAACACGGATTGAATTCAAACATATTCATTAGTGCAATTTTAACTCGAGTCTTACTAAAGACTGAGACTGAAATTAGAAATTTCATCAAACTTGGAATAATAAACCGATATACTTGTCGTATACGAGCTATGCAG